GAGGCCCCGCTGGTTGATCGGGAGCCGCAGACCCGCCCTAGGCCGCTTCTCCTTGGGAATTTGGAGCAGACCCACTGCCACTCCGGAGGCCGCCGTGAACGCTGGGAGTGTTCTGAAGAATGATTGTTTCGCTTGAGAATGTGGTCTGTCTGTAGAAGGCTGGGAAAAAACAATATCTGGCACCAGTCCTCCTCCAAACAGACACCCTCTGCAGCTGAAAGCCTCGAGAGCGAGCGCTCTCACGCCCCCGTCTCCGGTCCTCCCCGCGCCCGAGGCGGATCTGGTGAGTAGGAGGCCACCCTGCCTGTCGTCAGTCTGGAGAGGCATGTCGGGGTTGTGAGAACAGGGGCATCGTCTCAAAGAAGCTTCTCTGCCATTAACCGTTTCATAAATTTCTCCACTTTGGTAACATTTACTTTTTGTATATTCAGAAGCAGGATTTCCCACATGCTCCAGTCGGTAGGATGCAGCCCCTTTCTCTGCACCAGTCACAGCTGAAAAAGAGAGGTGCCCACTAGCCACATACCCTTCCCCCACAAACTGCAAAAAGTTGGGTCGACTTCCTTTCCAGGGAGCTAGGACTGATTTGGGGGGCCCCAGATACACTGGGCCTGGTCGCTGTGAAATGATCTACCTGCTCAAGTGAGCCAGAGGATGTATTTGAGTTTTGTTCTGTTTTTCCAAAATTGCCTGTTACAAACACTTCTGCAGTAGTCCTCAATTGTACTCGAAGTGCCGTATTTCCTCCAGTTGTAGGCATACTCCTTTCCCCAAATTTTAACATTGTTGAAATCAGGATACCTCTTAACAGGGAGGTTTAAAGGACTTGCTAGCTGCTAGGCATCTACATGGGTGTGTCTGTCACTATTTGCCCCTGTGAAAATGCAGCTATATGATTATTCCATCAGTTGAAATACTTGAAATTAACTTTGAATTGAGATTTCTTTTTTTTTTTAATATATTTCATTGATTTTTTACAGAGAGGAAGGGAGAGGGATAGAGAGTTAGAAACATCGATGAGAAACATAGATCAGCTGCCTCCTGCACACTCCCCACTGGGGATGTGCCTGCAACCAAGGTACATGCCCTTGACCGGAATCGAACTTGGGATCCTTGAGTTCGCAGGCCGATGCTCTATCCACTGAGCAAACCGGTTAGGGCTGAATTGAGATTTCTTAATTGTTTTAAAAAATAACTTGAGAAGACCCGGCCCGGTAGGTCACTTGGTTAGAGCATCATCCCGATATGCCAAGTTTGCGGGTTCCATCCTCAGTGGTAGAACAACAAACTGATATCTCTCTCTGTCTCTAAAAAAAAATGGAAGAAAAAAAACTTAAAAAGATAATGCTCTCCTGCAGCATTAAACAAAAGGTTTATAATACTGTTTACTAAAGGTTTATTGTTTGCCTAACATTGTCTCAATTAATCAACTTTACAACCCCATGAAGCACAATTATTATTTTATAGATGGAGAAACTGAAGTTGAAGTGCCTTAGAGCTTTTAAGTGCCTTAGAGTCAGGATTCTAACCCAGGCTGTCTGATTTTAAATCTATATCCAGGCAGAAGATGCATGTGGTTTTTAAGGGAGGAAATCAAGGCAGGATTGGTGTGGGTCTGTGTATCTTTAGCTGTTTGTGTGTGTGTATGGAACCGGGAGACAGAGCCACCTCTAAGAGCATTGATTATACTTATTCCCACATTGATGCCAAATCTTTGTTTTTGGATCTTTTGCAGTTCTAAAGATATTTCTGCAAGTTCTGGATTTCTGGCTGTACGAGGGTGCTCCTGGGCCCCTCCTCTCCTGCCTACTCAACCGGCTGCCTCCCAGGGAGGCCGTACTTAATTTAAGAGAGGAGTCAGTGTTTCAGAGCTGTCCAAATCACATTAGCCTCTAGGAGCCCCCAGGTTCTGGTGCTGCAGGAACATGCCAAAGCCCTGAGAGCCGGGGGCTGTGACCAGAGGAGGACCACACAACTGTGAAGCCTCTCAGCAGAGGTTCTGGCCGTTTCCTCACCAGAAGTGGACAAGCCCGATCAGGTGGACATTGTTATGCTGCAGCAGCTCTTGATCACCCTGCCCGCGGAGGCCAGCCCCTGGGTGAAGTTGCACCATCCAAAGAAGGCCAAGGAGGGGGTGCCCCTATGGGAGGATGTGACTAAGATGTTTGAAGGAGAAGGTGAGAATAGACTGATGAAGGGGGGAATGGATGGGGAACTAGGAGATCTCATTTGTGTGTCAAAAGATAGGTGCACTTCATTGTTCTGGTCTCGGGGAGATAGTTGAGGGGAAAGCAGGTCTCTGAGGTTCATGCTGTGGCTTTTGGGAAGGGGATAGCTGTGAGAGTTCTGGAGTTCTGGCTGTGTGATTGTTGCTTCTGGATCCCTCCTCTCCTGCCTTGTTGCTCCTCTAGAAGAATAGAGGCATGCACTCAACCGGCTGCCCCGCGAGGAGGCAGGCAGTACTTACTATTGTGCTCTCAGCACAGGCTTCTTGTTGACATGTGCTCCGTGCTGCCCCATGCTGCTTCCATCTCCTGTCCTCAGTTCTACACAGGACAGGAAAACAGAACACAAGATGGTCCCCACCTGCGACTCCTGAGTGTGTAAATGTGATTTATAAATAGCAAAGTCAAAGCTTTTTGCACCCTTAAGCCCTCCCACCACATGCTTTTTCTTCACAAGTTTCAGTCATTTTAGCCTCAAATCAATATCAGTTCTTGACATGCTTGATTACTCCTATTTTACCTTGAAATATAGGTTCAGTGGGAAATATGTCCAAAATTACGCATTATTTAGTGGTCTGGTCAGGATAGATAGATGGATAGAGGAATTTGTGTGTTTTGTGTAGTCTCTTAATTCATACCTTTAACACTGTAGATTCAGTCAATATTGTATTCTAGCTGTGTCAGGCGGGAACTTTGCTAAGCATCTTGACAGATGGAAAAATGAATAATGATCTCTATGCTAAATATTTTTTATATATATATTTTTTAATATATATTTTATTGATTTCAGAGAGGAAGGGACAGAGAGAGAGAGAGGGAGAGAGAGATAGAAATATCAATGATGAGAGAGAATCATTGATCTGCTGCCTCCTGCACACCCCCTCCTGGGGATCGACCCTGCCACCCAGGCCTGTGCCCTTGACTGGCATCAACCCTGGGACCGTTCAGGTTCGATTTATCCACTGAGCCAAACCAGCTAGGGCAAAATATATTTTTATTGATTTCAGAGAGGAAGGGACAGAGAGAGAGAGAGGGAGAGAGAGATAGAAATATCAATGATGAGAGAGAATCATTGATCTGCTGCCTCCTGCACACCCCCTCCTGGGGATCGACCCTGCCACCCAGGCCTGTGCCCTTGACTGGCATCAACCCTGGGACCGTTCAGGTTCGATTTATCCACTGAGCCAAACCAGCTAGGGCAAAATATATTTTTATTGATTTCAGAGAGGAAGGGACAGAGAGAGAGAGAGGGAGAGAGAGATAGAAATATCAATGATGAGAGAGAATCATTGATCTGCTGCCTCCTGCACACCCCCTCCTGGGGATCGACCCTGCCACCCAGGCCTGTGCCCTTGACTGGCATCAACCCTGGGACCGTTCAGGTTCGATTTATCCACTGAGCCAAACCAGCTAGGGCAAAATATATTTTTATTGATTTCAGAGAGGAAGGGACAGAGAGAGAGAGAGGGAGAGAGAGATAGAAATATCAATGATGAGAGAGAATCATTGATCTGCTGCCTCCTGCACACCCCCTCCTGGGGATCGACCCTGCCACCCAGGCCTGTGCCCTTGACTGGCATCAACCCTGGGACCGTTCAGGTTCGATTTATCCACTGAGCCAAACCAGCTAGGGCAAAATATATTTTTATTGATTTCAGAGAGGAAGGGACAGAGAGAGAGAGAGGGAGAGAGAGATAGAAATATCAATGATGAGAGAGAATCATTGATCTGCTGCCTCCTGCACACCCCCTACTGGGGATCGACCCTGCAACCCAGGCCTGTGCCCTTGACTGGAATAGAACCTGGGACCCATCAGTTCACTGAGCCAAACCAGCTAGGGCAAAATATATTTTTATTGATTTCAGAGAGGAAGATAGAGGGAGAGAGAGAATTGTTGATCAGCTGCCTCCTGCACGTCCCCTACTGGGGATTGAGCTCGAAACCTGGGCATGTGCCCTTGACTGGCATCAAACCTGGGACCCTTCAGGTTCGATTTATCCACTGAGCCAAACCAGCTAGCGTGCTAATTATTAATTGATGGAGACAGACACATACCCAGACCACGTACCCATAATATAAGGTAACCTAGGAAAATGCTATGATAAAGTTCTTTTGGAAGACAAGAGATAGGAAACATTTTTCCAGTTGTGCTCATCTGAGAAATTTTCACAAAGCAGATAGCATTGAATTGGGCCTTGAAAGATGTCTAAGTTGTTTTGTCAAAGGGTCAGAGAATGGGGACCATTGTAGTCTGAGATTGGTGTTCGAGTCCAACAGATAGAGGATGGTGATTAGAGGAAACTAGTGCTGGAAAGATATGTTTCAGGTGGACCGTAGAGTGCCTGGAAGCCCTGGGAAGTGAACAAAAGAATGGCTCAATAGATCTGTGCTTTTGGACCAGCATTGACCATTGGGAAATACTAATGCCCAAAAGAACACACTGCAGATCCTCCTCATAAGGGGCTCCAGTCTGCTTGCGTCGCTCCAAATGTCCCTCTTTGTGAATATATTGAGAGGGGAGCCATATTCAGCAGGTCTGCAGGCAGTTTTGGGGGCGTTTGGGAAGTGCAAACCTTACGGCTCTTTTCCTTCCTCAGCTCTGCTATCTCAGGATGCTGATGAGACCCAGGGAGAAAGTTTAAAGGATGAAGGGACTTCTGGGGCCCAGACAGCAGAATTCCAGGTGGGTTGGAATTTCCTCTCATTTTTTTGACATGCTTCTTGGCTTTTAAGGGCATAACGCCCCTTTTCTTGGAGTGGGAGGTTGTGGAGGCTAACGAATTTAACCTAGGGAGCTTAGAGAATGTCGCTCTTATACAGAAAATGGCAACAGTAGTAGCAATTTATCTGCTCATAGAAGTCATACTTTCCTCCATGTAACTCTAACGTTGTGTTGCTAATTTCTGTAAAGAATGCAAAATGAGTGATAGAATTTTAGCCTTTAAAAACCAACAGGTACCACTTGGGACCTAAGATAAGTCTCATTTTTTAAATTTATTTTTTAGTATTTATAACTGAAAAACAAACTTTGTAAATGAGAAGTTCTGACATTCTTTTATTATTATTTTTATATATTTTTTAAAAATATATTTTTTTATTGATTGCAGAGAGGAAAGGAGAAAGAAAGAGAGAGATAGAAACATCAATGATGAAAGAGAATAATTGAATGGCTGCCTTCAGCACACCCCACACTGGGGATTGAACCCATAACCTGGGCATGTACCCTAACCGGGAATTGAACTGATCTTCTGGTTCATAGGTCTGTGCTCAACCACTGAGCCACACAGACCAGGATGACATTCTTAATGGTGTACACATATCACTTGTGAGCTTAATGAGGTGACCCTTAAAGTATTGGGAGCAGAGATCAAACTACAGCCAAAGAATCAGGAAGAGAAGAAATGGTCTGGCCATAGGTGCACACATTAGCTGGGCAGATGCAACAGGTGTCAGAATGGGTGTCCTCACCATCTGGTGGAAGGATAGGTGATACAGAAGGAAAATTTTTTGAATAAACAGAAAAGGAACATCATTAAAGAGATGTTATTCGAGGACAGAAGAGTTTTAAGTGAACAGAACTTGGGTTCTAAAATTAGATGGTACAAAATTTGAACTTAGCTCTTGAATTTACTTGCTTGGTGATCTGTGGCAATATTTTTTAGCTGTTTAAAATCCCAGTTTCCTCAGCTAATTCAGATGCTCATACTTACTAGGAGTGAAATGCATTCCAGAGTTAGAGAAATGTGGAAGTAATAATAATTATTTAAGGGGTTATCTCTGCATTCTACATTTTAGAATTCCTCACTTCCTGACACTTATTGAAACTGATGAGATTTAAACTTAGCACTGGGAAAAGATTAAAATTTGTAAAAAAAGAGATATATTATCCTGGCCAGTTGCTCAGTGGTTAGAGCATTGGCTCTCAGACTGAAAGGTCACAGGTTTGATTCATGGTCAAGGGCATGTACTTCGGTCACAGGTTCGATCCCCAGTCCTATGTGGAAGGCAACCAGTCAATGTGTCTCACATCAATGTTTCTCTCTCTCTCTCTCTCTTCCCTCCCTTTCACTCTCTCTAAAAGTCAATGGAAAAAAATATACTCAGTGAGGATTTAAAAAAAGAGGTATAATTTATACATAGGATAAAACACTAAAGAAAGTGCATAGCTCTTTTTGACATATGTATACACCATCTACTGCAATCAAGATCTAGAACATTTCCACCATCTCAGAAAGTTCCCTCATGCCCCTTACTCTGCTTTGCTCCCAGTAGTTAGTACATGGGATCCCTGTTTATTTCTTACTAGTGGCTCGGTGCACGGATTCGTGCACATTGAAAGGAAATTAATTACAAGAAATATTTTAATATTGCTATTTGTCCTTTCTCTATAATAGAAGTGTCAATCAAATTCACAGTCAACAATGACAGATTGAAACATACGCGTGCACTCGACACCGGCAAGAGCTTTATATGTGTCCTGCATGTTGAGTCCAGTTGGTGGGTCAGAGGGATGGACATAGAGTCGGTCATTTATATATATAGATAACTGCAAGTAAATCTATCTCAAAATAGATTTAATGATCATGTTAAAGTCATCTTGAAATATAAATGTAATTTTAAAAATAATCTAAAAAAATTAATAAAAATAATCTATTCAGTAATGTTCTATAAATGTTAATTAGATTAAGTTGGTTGATAGGTTGTTCAAAGTTATATCTTTGATGAATTTTGGTCTAATTGTGTCAGTTATTGAGGGAAGAATTAAAATCTCTATCTTGATTTTGTCTCTATCTCTCTTTAGTTCTGTCATTTCTGCTTTATTTTGAATTCTGTGGTCAGATGCATAAACATGTGGGATTGTTGTCTTCTTAATGAACTGATCCTTATAATTATGAAATGTCTCTTTATACCTAGTAATATTTCTTTTTTTTTTACTTTTTATTTATTTTTTTAATTAAATCTTTATTGTTCAGATTATGACATTAGTTACTCTTTTTTTCCCACCATAACTCCCCTCCACCCAGTTCTCACCCCACCCTCCGCCCTCATTCCCCACCCACTATCCTCATCCACAGGTGCACGATTATTGTCCAATCTCTTCCCTAGTAATATTTCTTTTTCTGAAGTCCACTTTGTCTGATTTAATGTAGATCCTCCAGTGTTCTTTTAGTTATTGTTTGCATAGTATAACCTTTTCCATTCTTTTAGTTTTAACCTCTCTTTGTCTTTTTATTTATTTTTTTCTGAGTGGTGTGATGAAATCTCACATCATTCTGCTCCATCCTGCCCAGGATGTAAACCATCCCTTTGTCCAGCATATTCATCCTATATACGGTATACTCCCCACCCATTAACTACTTAGTAGCAATTGGTTATCAGATCAATTGTCATGGTATTGCAGTGCTTATATTCAAGTAACCCTTATTTTGCTTAATAATGACCCCAAAGTGAAAGATTAGTGATGCTGGCATTTCAAATAAGTGCTTTCTTTTAAGTGAATTGGAAAAAAACCTTATATATAGGGTTTGGTTCTATCCATGGTTTCCGGCACCCACTGGGTGTCTTGGAACATATTCCCCATGGATGAGGGGCGGGGGGCGGGTGGATTATTGTATATATGTTCTCCTTCAACGATGAGAAATCAGGCTCCCATTTTTAACTCATTTGCTCAAGCTTGGAATATAAGAAAAATAGTTTCAGAGTTGATAACCCAAACCAGTGTAACAGGCAAACCTACTAAATGGAGTTCAGTATTTCTCAAGATAAAATTTAATATAAAAATGCACAAAAATTAAGTGTATTATTTGATGAATTTTAACAAATGCATACATTGTGTTACCTGTGGCCCAATTGATTTGTTAGCTTGGGCTGCCATAACAAAATACTACAGACTGGTGGCTTAAAACAACAGACATTTATTTCTCACATTCTGGAGGCTGTAAAGTCCAAGATCAAGGTGCTGGCAGATTCAATTCCTGGTGTGAACTCTCTTCCTGGCTTGCAGGTGACCACCTTCTTGCTGTGTCCTCACATGGCAGTGCACCAGGGGAATGTGGAGCTCTTTCTCTTTTTTTCTTTAATCCTCACCCAGGATATTTTTCCATTGATTTTTAGAGAGAGTGGAAGAGAGAAGAAAAGACAGAGGGAAATATCAATGTGAGAGAAACACATGGATTGGTTGCCTTCTGCATGCTCTCTGACCAGGGCCTGTGCAGGAGCCTGCAACCAAGGTATGTGTCCTTGACTGGAAACGAACCTGGGATCTCTCGGTCCACAGATCAATGCTCTATCCATTGAGCCAAACCATCTAGGACAACCTCTCTTTGTCTTTATATTTAAAGTATGACCTTCTTAAATAGCTGGATCTTGCTTGGTTAGTCCATTTACAGTAAACATAATCATTGATATAGTAGATTTAAGTGCATATTCTTATTCTTTGTTTGCTGTTTGTCCCATCTAGTCTTTGTTCCTTCTTTTCTGCTATCTTTTGGATTAAATAGTTTTCTTGTGTGTTCCATTTTGTGTCCCTAGGACTTTTTAGCTATTCTTCTTTGGTTTGTTTTTAGTGGTTGCTCTAGCCACTACAACATGAAATTTTAAACATATCACTTTGAATTAATATTATACAGTTTCACATATAATATGGAAGTCTTATATTTCCATTTATTCTCTCCCATTCTTTGTGTATTATCACAATACATTTCACTTTACATGTTATAGATCCCACAATACATTGTTCTTATTTTAGTGTTTAATAGTAAATTGTGTCATAAAAAATTAGGAAAGTTAAGAAAAGGAAAAGAAAATGAGCCGTTCATATATAGATACATATTTACCAATTCTGGAACTCTTTCTTAAAAATATTTTTATTTTATTTTTTAAACGTATTTTTATTGATTTCAGAGAGGAAGGGAGAGGGAGAAACATCAATGATGAGAGAGAATCATTTATTGGTTACCTCCTGCACACCCCACACTGGGAATTGAGCCCACAACCAGGGCATATGCCCTGACTGGGAATGGAACCATGACTGCCTGGTTCATAGGTCGATGCTCAACCACCAAGCCATGCCAGCTGGGCAAAAGCAATGTATTTTATATTCTAGGAACGGTTGACCTTCAAGGACATAACTGTGAACTTCACCCAGGAGGAGTGGGGGCAACTGACCCCTGCTCACCGGAATCTGTACCGAGAAGTGATGCTGGAGAACTACGGGAACCTGGTCTCAGTGGGTAAGGATGGGCTGTTTATCCAGAAACCTGCTCATTGCAGCAGAGCCATTGTTTCTAAACTGTTAAATGTCATGGGTTCCCTGGGTCTTGGCCTTGGATTCTGTGTTAGAGATGTCTTATTCCTTTGAAAATCCAGCCAGGGGCATATCTGGTTCTCCTTCTTTTACCTTTTACTTTGTAGAGCTAAAATAGAAAAACATGCTGAGGTGCCCCTTTCCATTTTCAGAAATCCTAGGACTGGAACTAATTCTGGGGATGTTTCTTAGATCTCAACATAAGCATTCATACTCTTTTTTTTTTTTTTTTTTTTACTGCATAAGCAGGATATGAATTTTCCAAACCTAGGGTGATTTCCCAGTTGGAGAAAGGAGAAGAGCCATGGATAACAGAGAAAGAAGGCCCAGGACATCCCAGTGCAGGTGAGCCAAGGCAGGTGGTAACCTTTTCACATGTAAACAGTTTATTTTTTAAAATAATGTTTTCTGTTTTTTCCTGGTATAATAATATAGTTGGTTTTATATCTTGATCTTATAGCCAACCACCTTGTTTCATTCTGTTATTAATTCCAATAATTTGTTTGTACATTCTCTTGGGTTTTCTTTTTCAACTTATAATAATGAAAAGAATAATAAAAGCTGCAATGGTGTT